GGGTGGATGCGTCGCATCCACCTCGTCCTCCACTTCTCAGCTTCGCATGCTAGGGTGGATGCGTCGCATCCACCCTTTGTTCCTCCTTCTCAGTTTTGCCCAGGTGCGGATGCTATGGCAGATGCTATGGGCCGACTTCACTGCTAAAGGTGCACGAAATCTATTTTTTTTCTAGATTGGATGCGACGCATCCAACCCCTCTTCCTCTAGCTAGAGCACCTTTTCTTCATATTTTTGCACTTCAAACACCCTAAATCATCACACACAACTCAATTAGTCATAAAACCAATAATTAAACCATGTTGGGCATTTTAAAGATCAAATAGCATCAAAAAGCGGTTAAAACATGGGTAAAGTAACATCAACACATATCGAAATATGCCCAACATCAGTGTTCCTATTTTTCCTATGATTGTTGTGGTGATATTAATATTGTCTCCTTTTGTCCTTTTATCTTTTTGTTTTCTTGAGTCGAGGGTCTTTCGGAAACAGCCTCTCTACTCCTTCGGGATAGGGGTAAGGTCTACGTACACACTACCCTCCCCAAACCTCATTAGTGAGATTTTACTGGGTTGTTGTTGTTGTTGTTGTAACAGAAGTAAAGAAGGTTTAGGAGAGAGAGAGCCTCTTACCAGATGGTTGTTCGCTGACTCGCTATTCACTCGGATTTTGGGGCCTAAAGGGATTTGACAACAAAAATCCTCTTGGGACGGGATCCACTACTGTCTCAGGCTCTCAGCAGTATCTGCCTATTTGAACCACTAAGCACCCGCTTTACTTAGAACAAAATTCTTCACCTCACAACATCAACCCAATTTAAGTGAGCTTCGAACAGGAAGCTCAATGCCACTTATTGCAACACTAAACCTCCAAGTGAAATCCAACGTTTATCATCTTTTTTCAAATCAGACTCTTCACGGTAAAGTTGAGAGTTCAAACTCATCCAATTTGGCACAAAACAGACATGATAATGCTTTACAGAAAAAATAACTGCCCGGAGCCCTATCATATATATTAAGGTCATTGCTAACTATCGTAACTTTTCTGTAGCAAGAGCTTCTGGCTAGTGTAAGGGATTCAGAAATAAGAGGCACTAGCACTTCTTAGCATCCTTGAATGGACTGCGCACTAAGGTATGGACGAAAATAAGTGAGAAGGAATTCAAAAGACAAAATAAGTACCAGATGCACAGTGTAAATTTCACAGGCTTATGATACCAGCAAAAGTAGCTTTAAAGGGAGAACTTATAGGAAATATGTGGAGTAGACACCCCAGCTTCCACAATGAGGTTGGAGTTGCAGCCTAATAGTTTAAATTCCGCCATGCACCACTCTTAGATGCATGTACAAATCTCATCAAAGTTCTTCCCTCTTCTTCCTTCCCCTTTCCCCTATTCATGAGCACATGCCCTTCCCAAAAAAAAATTAAATGAAAATAAAACAATTCAAAGAGATTTCAAATGCAATCAATCCTACGAATAAACAAAAAGTTTCAATGGTACAGAATCAGCAGTTAAGCAGATGAGTCGAGAATTAGAAATTAAAAGAAAGAGAAAACTCGGAAAAGAAATAGATTATACATAACCTGTTCATCGATCTACCTACCATCTTCCATATAATTAGGTTTTTCAACATCATCTGGCTTGCATTCTTCTGACATCACACTATCGTCTGCTACCATTTCAGAACATTCAAGACAAAAACATCCAAAATGGTTGCTATTTTTTAATCCAGAGAGGAAAAAAGAAAAGGAATAAAGCACATCTACAGCTACAGATTAAAGAATATAAAAGATACTGAAAAATAATTACAGTAGTAATCGTGACAATCCTGAAAGTCTCATGGACTTTGTTGACGTAGTTTTAATTTAGTAAAATACTAAAGCAAGAGCTTTTCAGAAACCAATATGAAAGACTTAATGGACTATTTTTCAATTCTAAAAAGTAAACTTATACGGGAAACAATTGACAAAGGTATTTAGCAGGCACCAAAAACCATAGTGCAAGGATATGATTAAACAAAGCCCAAAAAGTTTCAAATGTAATTTTATACAAACCTAAGACTTCAAACATCTAGAGAAGCGAGAAAATGTCTAAAAATGCAGAAACATAGACTTATTATCATGCAATGATTGCTATACTAGAATTCGGACTTCCTGACAACTAAATGCCCTAGCAAACACATCAAATAAACACAAAAAATACTTAGGGTCAAAAACAAAAGATCAATAAAGATATTGCTACAAACAGTCACTTGTAACCAGAACAAGCATTCACTGAGCATATCATTGAAGTTGTTGCCTACCTCCATCAATTTTTTCAGGTTTTAGGGCTTCATCAGGTTTCCCTCTTCAGCATTAGTCATCACACAATCTTCTGCTGACATTCAAGCAGAGACACACGCACAAACACATTCAAGACCATTTCTCCTTACAGTACATACTTAAACTTTAGTAACTCATTCGCTATATTAACTTTACTTAAACTTTAGTAACTCATTCGCTATATTAACTTCAATATACGCACTATATAATAAAGTATATAGATATATTAAACTTATACCAGATGATTCAAGCTGCAACGCCTTGATGTCTTCTTCAATATCTATCATGTAAACAACCAAAAAAAATCCACCGTCCATTAATCCACCAGAATCCGTAGCAACAATCTCATAAGTAATCATCCATACGGAGATCCAAATGCTCTTAATATAATCTTTACTAATATTAATATACGAAATTACACATATGTAGCTATAACTTTGCCTATGTGGATATAGCGCACTATCGAGCTCGTAAAAGTAAGGGCAACTGATTATCTTTACTTATCGAATTGGAACATCCAATTTTCACACAAAATAAGCAACTTCGAATCGCAATTGAACATAAAATCCAATGAAAAAAAAAATTAGTAAAAGTATATACCCGAGATTGATAAACGACTAAAGATATGAGCGATAGTGAAAAAGAATAAGCATTGACAGAGAACGTACCCATGGCGATGAATGAGATAAAAAATGATTCGGTTAATCAGAGAGGAGCCCAGCGCAGAGACCTGGAAATTGCTATTAGCAGGAAGAGGTTTATGGCTTTGCTTTTGGAACTCTAAATTATAATGATGCTGTCTCTTCCTTCTTTTACCACCTGTTGAAACTTGAAAGTTGAAACCAACAATTGGGTTTTATGTCCAATGCTAAACCGGCCTATCATATCAAAACATTGTTAAGTAAATGAACGTCGGTTTGCGACTAAAAAATAAATAGATTTTGCACACTACAAAAATTTACACAATTAGATCAATTAAAATTTAATTAGTACCACATCAGGTGGAATGGAAGGAAGCTGACACGTGGACAGTGTAGAATGATCTTTTATATATTGTCGGCATAATAAGTATTTGAATTCAAAATAAATTAATTGATTACCAATTTAAAATCTAAATAAAAAAAGACCAAATATACTAGAAATTCAACGCAAATCTAAATTAATCGGATCCTAAAATCAGAGGGGGCTCAAAAGAGTAGGTGGCCTAAAGCCAAATCTTTATTTAATAGAATTCTCATATTTTTCTTTTTGAAGATTATTTTTTAGATTTTTCCGGTGCAAAATTGCTATTATTTTTTTATGATCAATTTTTATAGAGCAATTTTTTTTCCAATTAATAATGTAATCAATCCACTTAATCTTTATTGAAACTTTGTTGATCTTAAATACTAAGATTTTTTAATTATAATTTTGATCATGGCCTTCCAAAGCAACGATCATGTGCTAAATACTTATATTCTAATTTGGAGCTTTTTTATGAGTTAATTTACTGGAAACATATCTACAATAGCCTGAAAAGAAAAGAAAATTATACAAAACTAAAGTTGTAAACAAAAGTGATTCAAATTAGAGTAAAATAAGTCTACATAAGCTGCATATTTAATTTGTCGACTACTTATATTCATAATTACATCAAGCACATCTATTAAAAAATAACATAAAATATGTAACTATGTGACTAATGATTGTGTAAGTTGGCAGAAAAACACTAAATGATCGAAGAAAAAATCTTATAATTGATCATATCTATTAGTAGTAATTATTTTATATTTATAGATAAAACATATGTTATAATTTATAAACATATAAAAAGGGAGTAAATTTTGGGGGCTTTATTTTTGGGGGCCTAAAGCTTTCGCTTTAGTCACCGGGGGGTTGAGCCGGCACTGCCTAAAATGTGTACAGAAAGTCGGATGAAAAATCCAAAAAAATGTTAGTAATATTATAAATATATTATATTATGGATGTTCATTTAGTACTCCGTTGTAAATAAGCTTCATGAAGAAGCTTATCAATATGAGACTCCGCCGTAAATAAGTCTATCTATTTAGTACTCTATTGGAAATAAACCTCTTGAAGAAGCTTATCCTTTCGGTACCCCGTTATGGATAAACATCACCCCCGATAGAAGATTATCTATATGTGGTACAGTGAGCTTATCCTTTTGGTACTCCGTTATAGATAAACATCACCCCCGGTAGAAGATTATATATATCTGGTACAATGAGATTATCCTTTCGTTACTCCGTTATGGATAAACATTACCCCCGATAGAAGATTATCTATATCTGGTACAATAGCAGCTTACACAGCAACTTGCAGAAGCAGCTTACACAGCAGCTTCATTTCTTCTATAAATAGAGGAGATTTCACTTCATTATGTACATAAGTTTGAAGTTTGAATAATATAGTAGTTTCTCTCTATACTTGTCTTTACTTTACAGTCTTTATTTCATAATACGTTATCAGCACGAGACTCTGCCATCTCGAGCAAATATTTTGAAAGTATTAGAGGTCCGAACTTTCTTTTTCTAAATAATGTCAAATCTTTCTAAACTTGAATTTGTAGCCCTCGATATATCGGACAAAAACTACATGTCTTGGGTGCTTGATGCTGAAATTTATCTTGATGCGATGGGTCTGGCAGACACCATTAAGGACAATAATCAAGCATCAAACCAAGACCGTGCCAAAGCAATGATATTCCTACACCATCACCTTGATAAAGGCTTAAAATGGAATATCTCACTATTAAAGATCCAGTCATACTGTGGAATAATTTGAAAGATACATATGACCACCTGAAGATGGTCGTTCTTCCACAGGCACGTTATGATTGGACTCATCTAAGACAAGAAAATTTTAAATCTATCAGTGAGTATAATTCTGCTACGTTCAGAATTATTTCTCAATTGAAATTATGTGGTGATAATATTACTAACCATGATACGTTGGAGAAAACTTTCACCACTTTTCATGCCTCGAATATGCTCCTGCAGCAGCAATATCGAGAGATGGGATTCAAAAAGTATTCTGAACTTATGTCACATCTCCTTGTAGCCGAGGAACATAATGGGCTATTAATGAAAAATCGTGAAAGCCGACCTACTGGTTGTGGCCCCAGTCGTGGTCATGGCCGTGGTCGGGGAAAAAACTCTAATCATGGTAATAATAATGCAACAAAGAACCCTCCTCACTACCAAATGCATGTTATAGATGTGGAGGGAAAAGGGCACTGGTCACGTACCTGTCGTATGCCAAAGCACCTGGTTGAGCTTTATCAAGCCTCCCTGAAGAAGACAGAGAAAAATGATGAAGCAAATTTTATTTCTGAAGATAATTTAGACTTCATGCATTTGGATGTAGCTGATTACTTTGCACTCCTGGAAGGAGAAACAAGTCATGTGATCGGTGATGAATCTGTAGAAATGTAAATATTTTAATTTTTGTTGTTTGTAGTAGATAGTATGGTTATATAATTGCTGTACATAAATAAAAGTTATGCTTTGATTATGATTTTCTCTCATGATACCAGAAGTGTCTGAGCAATATTTGATAGTACAAAATGTATCAACAACTCCTGAAGAGCTAATTGTTTGTCTAGAAGACACATGACACCAATAGTGTCCGATAAATATTAGATTGTGGATAATAAACGAAGTCTCTCGAAGAGATATGACATTCATATTATATGATTATGGTCAAAACATATGCTGTAGTAAACCTGAAGTTTAATAATACAAATGACTATCATATTGAGACTACAAATGACTGAAAGATTGAAAATCTTCATGTTTCCACAACCATAGGGGGTAAAATAATATGTATATGAGAAGTGACCCGCCTTATTCTTCAATTTATACTATATAATGTATCACAGTAAACCATAAGTTTACTAATGCAAAAGCAGTCACAGTAAACCAGAAGTTTTACTAAGGCAAAAGTAGCTATTGTAAACCAGAAATTTACTGATACAAAAGCAGCCACAGTAAATCAAAAATTTACTGATGCAAAAGTTTATGCCATAGTAAACCAGAAGTTTACTTAGAGATAGCACATGCCATGATAAACTTGAAGTTTTCATTTGCTATTTTTAAATAAGCCATTTAAGAATTCGGATAAGCATATACTGAAGAACTTGAAAATTCTTCAAGAATCTCTTGTGTTGCTTGTTCTCATAATAAATTGATTATACCAGCTAAAGTTGGGACTAAAACCCCTGAATTATGGAATATATAAAAAATAAATATGAGCCCATTCACCTATCATGTGAACCACTTATAGATGCATATATGAGATGGTTACATGTGTGTTTATTATCAACCTGTAGTTTGGCATTTGAAGTTGCCTTTCTCAATTAAGAGCATAATTTTCTGATTATGAAATCAAGATAGTTCATCTTGATGATGTTTGTTTATATCCAAGCTAGTTTAGCATTGAATACCTCCTATTAATGGTTAAACTATTGCTTATGAGAACAAAGCCTCTTGTGTTGGTCTAAGATTTTCTAAATTACATTCAATAGCACTTGTATGCATCAGACTAATAAAATATGATAAGTTCTCCCCTCACAATTGATTTAGGATCAAAAATCAAATATTTTTACTATCTAATAACTTTTGATGTGTGGTATATGATTAATTTTTCTACCATAATACACAAAGATAGATTTCCCAAAGAAGATTGGGGATATGAGTTAGTTTTTCTAACATTTGGGGGATGGAATAAACAGCTGGAAAATATGCTATATGAATCGAATTATCATTAATATGATCCTCACTTAGAACATAATTCAAGTCTAATGCCAGAAGCATTTGATGATCCAAAATTAAATATCATATTTCAGCTGCAAATGCTCCTATTAAAATTAAAGTCCCTGAAGGATAAAGTTTACTTCACGCATGAAGCTTAGTAAACCGATAGGTTCCAAATGTAACAATCCTTGAAAAATGATAGGAGCAAATGATCAAAATAATCATAATGAGGAGGAAATGAGCTCTAGAAGAGCCCACGCCATAACCTTTCATGAAACTCCAGAAGAAGTTCAGGTACCTGAAAATAAAGAGAAAGTGATGAGATCTTAACAAGTCATGTCGCTTAAGAACCGATACAAGATGATCGTAGATGATATATTTAATACAATATAGTTCACAATTTTATATAAGATTGTGAGGATCGGACCTGTAGTCCAGACACCTGAAGATGTCATGCCATTTAAATGCAAGTCATAACCTATATGACTCATTTGATTAAGTCTATATGAAGATCCCTGGAGGATTTAAAGTATATAGTTCAAAGTATATAGTTCAAAGTATCGTGAAATGTACTCAATCGGATTACAAAGATCTTTGTACGGTTTAAATCAATCTGGGCGCATGTGACATAATTGCCTCAGTGCATATTGCTGAAAGAAGGTTACATAAGTGATGTTATTTGTCCATGTATTTTTATAAAGAAAATGACATCAGAATTTGTTATACTTGTTGTTTATGTTGATGACATAAATCTTGTTGGAACTCCAGAAGAGCTCCAAAAGGCGATTGAATATCTTAAGAAAGAATTTGAGATGAAAGATCTTAAAAAGACTAAACTTTGTCTTGATCTGCAAATTGAACATTTAGCAGACGAGATCTTTATCCATCAATCTGCCTAAAGAGAAAGGGTCTTAAAATACTTTTGCATGGACAAAGTACACCCATTAAGTACACCAATGGGTGTTCGATCACTTGAAGTGAATAAGGATCTGTTCCGAAATACTTTATCTCACTGCAATTGGTGCACTTATGTATCTTGCTAATGCTAACAAAGGTGGTGCAGATTATATTGGTTATGCAGATGCAGGTTATTTATCTGATCCCCATAAAGCGCGATCTCAAATCGGGTATGTGTTAACATGTGGATGTACTGTCACATCATGACGCT